CAAACTTTCAAAAATCATCACAGAACTAATTCAAGGTAAAAATATGATTAATTTGACATATAAAAACATGCACGATTCAGTTATTGATCCATTAAAACCCTAGAGCATACCTAGGTGCACAGAACACAAGTCAAAGGGAATGAGGAAGAAAAGAACTTGCCTATGATTTCAGTTGAAATCTCGGCGTCGTGTCCACTGTTCCGGTAACACCGAGTTATTGTCTAGCCTCCTTCTACTTCTGCTCTTCCCTTCTCCTAGGTCTGACTTTGAAGCCTCAGTCAGAAACCTCACAGACTTGCTCTGTTCCTCTCAAACCCTCACTCTGTATCTCTCTGTGTTTTGATACGTGAATAGGGTTTTCCAACCCTTCCTTCAGACTATAACCATATATATATAGGCACAGATAAAACCTAATTCCAATGCTAATCCGCAACAGAAACCCTAATCTAAATTAAACTATAGTCGGCCCATAGGATAAAACCCTCGTTAAAAACTTTGTTGTTTCCACCTACAAAACTTCAAACAGTTTCAGTTATGAAATCCCTAAAGACTTTATTAACGTAATTAAATAATTAAACCTCTATATTAATAAATCAATGACACACAAATAATAAAAACAATTCAAATAATTTAATTAAATCCAGTAATACAAATAAAGCAAATAATGCCATTAAATAATTAATTCCAATTAAATAGAATAATTAATCACGTAAGGCAAAATCAAATACACAATTAACAATTAAATTAAATAGAAATAAAACAATTAAACACATGAGCAAATAGACACAAAAATCAATTAAAAATGCACAAAAATAAACGTTAAATTTCAATTTTATCCTTTTGGAAAATAGGGGTATTACAGTGTGGTGGTTATTGGCCGCAGATTGGTCAAGCGATCTCTGCACATTTCGGCACCTCATTCACCTTCATTATCATACAAATTGTTTATAAAATTTAATATATAATTGAAGGCTAAATTGTAAAATGACATAGCTTAATGGGCATTTTCGGAAGAGTAAAAAGGCAAAATGGGTATTACAGTAATAATTTATGTCAGATTTCTAACAAAGGGATAATTTTGCATAATTTCAAAAGATTAGGCGTATTTATTACACTATTTTTTTAAATAAGGGTAAAAGTGCTACTCAGAATATAGTTGAGGGGTGTTTTCTGCACTTACCCTATTAATTAATAATTACCGTCGGTCTTTTTTCCAAACGGATGGGTCAAACACGGATGATATTTTCTTTTAGAGTCATGATACTCTGTCCGATCAAATTGACCTACTCCTAGTCCGAATTCTATGTGTAACTGTCACGTAATTACTTAAATTCTGATATTTTGTTTGGGCACTAAAGATACCAAAAATAAATATGGAAAGAACCCCTCTCTATATCTCTAATTTGTCCATTCCTCTTCTTTGTTAGGATGCTTCCTTGATTCTTTCTCTCGCATACGTAATGAACTTTTGAAGGGTTTTTTTTTTTTTTTTTTTTTTTTTTTAATCAAATCTCCAAAACTGATACAATATACCGAAGCCAAAATATATATTGAAAAAATAATATATATGAATACATAATTTCAATCTTATTAGGGTTTGTTTTCTATGAACCAACAGAGGCTTCTCAATGCTTTATTTTCCCTTCAATTTTGCAAAGTGGAAAAGAGATAACCATGAGTCAAGAAGAGGAAAGGAAAAATCAGAGAGATAGAGAGGGGTCAACAAAACCTATATTTATTTTTGGTATCTTTAGCGCCACAAATATATGTAGGATTCGAATTAGGAGTAGGTCAATTGATCGAACAGATTATCATTACTCTTTCTTTTATTATTGAACTGTTGACATGAATTTAATCATGCCAGCGTAATCAACATAAGTCAATCGTAATTACCTAAATAGAACATTAAGTCAATCGTACTAAATGTCCCTTACAAGTGTGCCAAGGAAAAGTGTTTGCTGCTTACTCCTTAATTTTTAACTTTTTTTTTTTTTAACTCCCCTCCTAAAATTTTTATTTACTTTTTTATTATAGAATGTCTGAAAATACGTGTATCATTCTAAAATGTACTATTTTTGTAATGTTATCAAACTATCATTTTTTTATTAAACAAGTGCACTAATTACCTTGGTGAACTTTAGGTATATAAATAAGGTAAAGTCAGGGTCGACACCCCTTTCTCACTCATATGACGATCAGAGTAGTCAATTATTTTTTAACAAAAATAAATTTAGAAATTCACTCTTATTAATATAATAAAAAAATATTAAAAATATACTACCTTGAAATATTGAATTCTCCAAACACTCCAAATTTTGGGACAAAATTGAGTAAGTGTTTCGTAATTTTTTATAGATTTAAATTGATATAAGAGTTTATTTTCTAGGAAAAATTCATCCCAATGCTCAATAAAAGTAGATATATATATCAATATGCAAGGATAGTCCAAGTGATTAAGAAGTTTCAAGGAGCGAGTCATAAACTCAACCATCCTGAATTTGACTCTCGTGACCATATGAAATCGTTGATTTAAAGAATTTGACTCTAACTAAACACAGAAATACTCTAATTTAAATGATATATATATAATTTGTAAGTGTACATATTCTCCAAAAATGCAATTATAATACTTTCAAAGCCCAGCACGTGATGCATACCGCATATATATGAATCTTTGAGAATTGTCACGGAATTTGGACTGGATTAAAAGTTATTCTCAGAAAAAAAAATGTTTGGGCTGAAGCCTGGAATTGGACATTTGACTTTTGACTAATTAATCTAGCCCAGAGTAATGAGTAAATCAATCTCTGGCCTACTTTTCTGGGCTAAATTCTCAGAACAATTGTGTTGGTCAAAGCAGGTCAGATAGTCCCTTCATTTTATCAATTTTTAACTACTTAGAAGCAAATACTCCGTATCAAGTAATGAAAACGCAAAGAAAAATGATAGGAGAACCGAATCAGACAATTGAAGAAGTCAAACTTAACGTAGCTCAACCACGTTAGATTATTTCTTAAAAGTATAAACGCGTGAGATGCTGCTACCTCTTCGTTTCTCTCTCCTCGCTTCCTCTAATTCTCTGTTTTTCTTTTCTATTCAATCTTATCTCAATCGATTCTTATTTTGTCTCTCTCCTTTTGATTTTGTAAAATTGAAGATAAAAAAAATAAAAAAATTAAAATTTCTTTAATGTTTTGCCAATACAAAAGGTACAAAACCAATAAATAAATAAATATAAATAAATAAAAACTACAATTATTGTTTCTGTCCTTCAAATTTTGTATCTATGAAAATCAAACAAAAACTTTGATACGTATATACGTTCCATCCAAACGTTTGGAGCTAATCTCAGATTAGAATTAATCTCTTAGCGAGAAATGAAAAGGAAGAGAGAGTGAGAAAAAAAAAAAAAAAAAAGAGTTAGCGTCTTACGCATAATAAAATTGTCCGACAAGTTCAGTGTTTTTTTCGGTAGAAATTTTCGATTTCTCTATCACTGCTCAAAGGCAAAAGTACTTAAATGCCTCTCCCAACTATTTTTTTTTTTTTTTATAACAAATCAACTCCTCAATCATACAAATATTGTGTATTGTCCCTTTATGTTATCCGAGTACACTTTTAGCTAGTTAAATTGTCATCATTATTTATTTAATTTAGTGTAGAAGTTATAAAATATCGTAAGTGTAAAATATCAATAATAACCTCAATAAGTTAACTTAGCATTTTTATATCGTATTAGCAGTTAAAAGTATTGGTGAAGGCCATACGTATAGTAGACGGAGGAAAATGTAGTAAGTCCGTTGCGAATACCATACTCTTTTCTTTCTTTCTTTCTGCGGTACACAATCCTCTACTTGAAACCTTCGCCAGAAGTGATTACAATGACTTCATCAATTAACGGTTATAATGGCAGTTATTGATTGTTCATCTTTGCTCTTCGGCTGGGCCTGTGCCCCTGTTTGCCCAATTGGGCCTGTTTCTTACTTTTTGGAATGGGCTTCGGCCCCAAATCTTGTAATTATTTACCATATATATGTCAGTTAGCTTCATTTTCCGAAAAAAAAAAAAAAAAAATGATTAATTACAATGACATTCTCTAAGTTTTATTTTATTGACAACCATATATAAGTTAGCTCAATTTTGAAATAACACTCACTCAACTTTGTTGCCTTTGACAAAGGCACTCATTGAAGGATTGACATATGATAAAATGACCTAAGTGTCATTTGACTTATGAAATGATACTCTATTTATTTTGAGAATCAAAATTTTTAGACTAAACACGGGAAACTAAACGCTTGCATACCACGTAAAGTCCTAGATTATAATGCATCTTATTTTTAGTCAACTATATTGTGGTTGAGAGTCTGATAGATTATAACTTTACTAATTCGATCTTTCATTTTTATGGTATTATATTTCTTTAACCTTCATTAATTTAATAAAACAAAATTAGAATATAAGATAACCTCTAACATATAATGGAAGTCAAAAACAATTTCATAACATAATATTACTAACATGCTCTTTATAAACGTGGTCGCTTTCAAAATTTCACCAAACTGATCAATGATTAATAAGATTTATTTTTTTATCGTTAAGTACAAATGTCCATTACAGAGCTCCAACCTTTAGATGGTGAAATTATTTCAACTAGGTTAATAACTTCATATACGGGATGTATATATAGTATTTTTACATTTCCAATTGCTTATCTAGTAATTAATATGTAAATCTTGTTTTTACCATGTTCCACGAGGAAACGCAAATAATGAGAAAGCCAAAGCCATAATCTTGTAAAATGGTTATTTTGTTTTAAATGTTTTACTCTCTCTTATCACTGTTCAAAATTATCTGGCCTTAATTTCTTACTGCAATAATCACCTATCCATTTTTAATATGAAAATATCAAATAAAAAAAATCCAATAAATCAATCACGTGGATCTTATTTGTACTTGATATGTATATATTTGTCAATAATTGTAGTTTTATTATATCAGTCACACACTCACATTTGTATTCCACTCATCCAAAATTATCGCTTCTTTGAGACCACGAACGGCCGGTCCGACCAGATGGAACCCCATTGACCGACCACTGCCCAATCAGGACAGAAGAGAACCAAAGACTTCAACAAAATAGTAGAAGAATTTATTTTCATTATTTAATTAACAGCTATAAATTAATATAAATTTCAGGATTTGGTCTTTCCAATAAAAACCATAGTTTTCCTTCCAGTCAGATCGAAAGAACACCCAAGTGGTTGCTCTTCACATGAAACATGGGGCAACCTTTAATACATACTCTCTCAGATCCATGATGGTTTCAGGTAATTCTTACTTTTAATCTCTATCATGGATTTTGTATGTATAGTGTATTTATCACTGTGATTGAACAAATTGGTACTAGGAGTAGGTATTTTTTCTATAGAAAGTACAGATCCCAGTTTATAAACTTCAAGAATCTATAGTTTGTGAGTCTAATTTTTGTGAAAGTTGTTAGTTTTTAGGAGGATTAAGCCAAAGCCCAACTTTTTACTCCAATTTATGAATCTAGGGTTTGTGGTGGATTTTAGTGAAAATTGGCTCCTGAAGTAGTGATTGGAATTTAGGGTTTTTTGGGTTCTAGAAAGATGGGGGAGAAGTTTTGGTTGAATGAAGAGGAAAAGTCTATGGTGGAAGCTGTGTTGGGAACAGAGGCCTATGGATTCTTGGTTTCGTTGGCTTCCGATGTTGTTTCATCAGAGTTTGTTTCGCGGGCTGCTGCTGATTTGGGTGTGCAGCAAGGACTTCGTCAGATTGTTGAGGGGTCCAATTGGACTTATGCCATTCTCTGGCAGGCCTCGAGGTCCAAATCCGGCCGTTCAGCCTTGATTTGGGGTGACGGGCACTGTTGTGGACCAAAGGGCAGTGAAGTTGGGAATGGGAATTGTGCTGGAGATCGGGAAGTGGAGAAAGGAGATCGAAAGAAACGGGTATTGCAGAAGCTCCACGCGTGTTTTGGTGGATCTGAGGAAGATAACTATGCTGTGAATTTAGATTTGGTTTCAGACGTGGAGATGTTTTATCTCACATCCATGTATTATTGTTTTCCATTTGATAAGCCCTCTACTCCTGCTCAGTCATTTAGTTCTGGTAGATCAATTTGGGTTTCAGATGCACAAGGTTGTTTAGTACATTACCAATCAAGATCCTTTTTAGCAAAGTTGGCTCAACTCGAGACGGTTGTTTTTGTTCCAGTAAAGTCAGGGGTATTGGAGATTGGTTCAGTCAAGTCTGTTCCTGAAGAACAAAATGTGATTCAAATGGCCAAAACTATATTTGGGGAATCTACTTCCATGCAGGCGAAGGCATTGCCAAAGATATTTGGGCATGAACTTAGTCTTGGTGGTGCAAAGTCACGACCAATCAGCATAAATTTTTCTCCCAAGGTAGAAGATGAATCAGGGTTCTCATCAGAAACTTTTGAATTGCAAGCGATGGGTACCAATCAAGTTTATGGAAATTCTTCTAATGGATGTCGAAGTGATGATAATGAAGCGAAACTTTTTCCGCAGATGAATCAAGTAATTGTTGGGGGTTTGAGTTCACAATCACTGGTTTCTGGTCTAGAACAGGGTAAAGATGACTTGTTGATTCAGCCTGATGAGCGGAAACCTAGAAAGAGAGGGAGAAAGCCTGCCAATGGAAGAGAGGAAGCGTTGAATCATGTGGAAGCAGAGAGGCAGAGGCGAGAAAAGCTCAACCAGCGATTTTATGCATTAAGAGCTGTTGTCCCTAATATCTCTAAGATGGACAAGGCCTCTCTGCTTGGTGATGCTATTACATACATCACTGATCTTCAGATGAAGATCAAAATCATGGAAACTGAAAAGGACATGATTAACAGTAATCGAAAGCACTGCACCATTCCGGAGTTTGATTTTCAGGATAGGCAGGAAGATGCAGTTGTACGAGTGAGCTCCCCTCTGGATGCACACCCTGTTTCTGGTGTGATAAAGACATTTAGGGAACACCAAGTTATCCCTCAAGAGTCTAAAGTTTCCATAACAGACAACGGTGAGGTTATCCATACATTCTCTATCAAAACTCAAGGTGGTGATGCCGAACATTTGAAAGAGAAGCTGGCTGCCGCCCTTTCAAAATGATCAAGCTGTAAAGTTGTAAGATAGAATATCAATGTATGTTTTGTGTGTCTCTTTGTAGAAAAATGGGAATATCCTTGTACAACACTGGGGCTACCTTCTTGTTGTTGCCCAATCATTAGTGTCTGTATTTGTTTCAATGATATATTTTTTTTCAGACTTCAGATTATTGATTTACTTCTTCAGTCAAAATTCATCAATACTCAGGATTTTTGTTGTCGTGGATATGTATGTTGTTTTGGTGTAAAGGCCATGTTGTGATTGTGTCAGAGCTTCAAGGTTGTTAAGGCCATGAAGCAAATGAGTGGAGGATTAATGGCGAAATAGAACTACAAAAATTATTCAGAAATAAATAAATAAAGGAATACAAGATTCTGCAGTAGCATCTCCTTCTCATGATACCCTTATTTCTTCTTGACCGTTCTCTGTACTTGTCAAAATTCTCTATGTTAAGAATAGAACCTTCTCTTTTTAGTCTGTGTCTATCTGCTTCAATCATTATACAATTTGTATGCACATTCTCGATTGAATTCCGATCCATATATCCTCTATAACTATGTCAGTCAGCTCCATTGACATCTGAAGTGTAAACATGGAGTAGCTTAGAAGAAATTTGTCATGTCTCATGAAGCAGTTTTCTCTTGTATTTTGTTGTTTGTTAACAGTTTATACAGCATGTGGGGCAAACAATTTCGTGACCATGTTGCTTGTTGAATACAGAGAATGTATAAACTATATACCACCTCCCAAGTCCCAACCCAACTCTGTCTCTCTCTCTCTCTATATATATATGTAGCCAAACAGGGTGTACCAGAAGAATCCGTTCTTTTTTATTCTTCTATCAGGAGTATATTCAGTTGCCAGAACACAAACATTGACAAAATAAACATGCAGTAGTCGCTAGCTGCATTTGATTCTTCTGAGTAATTATGTGTTCTTGTAAACAGATCAAGAAAAAGAAGCAGAGGAAGCCAAACCTAAAATTCTATCCTGTCACAAATGCACTGAAATATAGAAATACATGGACTATTTATTATTCTCAAATAATAGAAGAGTATACAATGTGGTTCTCTCCAATTTTACTTTAGTGATTAGTTATCTGTTTCTTTCAAGAATATGCAACATATTTAGCATCGGCAGCATCCTCTTATTCTTCTTCTTCATATATATATATATATATATTCAATTTACCATAGTTAATATTTGTTACCTTTATTCAATCTCTCTCCTGCTTAATCTTTTCCATCTTCCTTGCAACCTTAACTACTACCGCCGTATCCACGCCATCACAGCCACTATCTTCACCACTACGGCCACAACACAACTACCATATTCATTCTCCAATGGTCACTCTCTCTCTCTCTCGGCACTTTGATTTATTTATTATTTTTTTTGCTCTCTTAATTTTTTTTCCCTTGATGGCCTGACTGTTGCTCTCTTATTTATTTTATTTTTTATTTTTTTTGCTTTCTAAATTTTTTCTTCGACCCATTATTCCACGTTTCGTGAATTATAGAGTCTCAAACAGAAAACGTATATTGCTTAATCCTGGCATGGAAATAATAAAAGGTCTTCAAATTTGGATTTTTTAACACAAAAATAAAAAAAATCACCAAATCCTGATTCTGGCAATTTTCTCGTTTTCATTCCCATTTACATTTTCAAGCATTACAATTTCCTTCAAATTTTTTGTCACAAAACAATAAAATATTCCTTCAAATTTTAAAATAAATCAACACTAGATTTGTATTAGATGTAATGACAGAAAAGGAATCACAACGCTTCAGGTACAATATTAGGATGTTCTCACCCATAGAGGAATAAATCTTCAAGTATCTATCGCTTATTCAATTGATCCCAGATACGAGAAAGAAAATTCTAGAAGCCATTCTGTAATCCATATTTGGCTTGAAAACTTGAGAACAACAATGAGTGAAAGCAGAGTGATAGATCGATGGCAAGAAGCAAAAAGGGAGTGCCAATGACCGATTGTCCAACCTTGCGGAGTTGTTTATCCTATTTTTACTCTATTTTTTCTTTTCTTTCTTCTTTTGCAAACCCTAATTTTTCATCTTTCAAAACAATTCCCCCATTCAGATCCAACAAGGAATGGTGAGGCTACTAAGATGCTCAGAGCAACATTATATTTAGTAAGGTCTTATTTACTCATTTTTTATTTGTTTGTTACAGAAACTGAATAACATTTTTCTTTTCTTACCTTAATATTGGATCAATTTGTTTAATCTCTGTGTCTAAATTGCAAACGGGTATAATAGAGTGGATAATCCGTCGGATTATCGGATCGGATCGCTTAATATGCTTATTGAATTCGGATCGAATTGACTCTGATCCGGTTCAGATCCGATCCGTTGACTGGTCTAATTATAAGACTTGATTTGGTGCTCTCGACCATATTTTAATAATAATAATATAAGAGATAATATATGCACTTTACTTTTTAACATTTGCGTTACCATCTTAAATGAAATGGTAATTCTAATCTTAACTTTACAAGTAAAAAATTATTACTTTTTAAATGACACAGCTACCCTTTCAAATTTTCTCTCATTTATTTTTAATCTTTAATATTTAAAGTATCTTTTGACAACACAAATAAAATAAAAATTGAATAATTTTTTTTTTTTTTTAAGGGACCAATATATATATATATATATTTTGGTAAGTTGAATAAATTGCCTCTTTTTACCGGACCAAAAAAATAAAAAGTAACCATTAAAAAAATTCGCCCTTTTGACATGAAAAAAAAAAAAAAAAACAATAAAAAATATATATTTATTGAAGAAATTATCCAAGTCAAATGAGTGTGATGATATAGCATTTTTTTGTGCAGTTGTGGCTTAGTTGCTCTCTCCTTTGAGCGCCTTTAATGAAAAATTTATACCTCTCCATTTGGGAATGAGTGGACGAGAGTTGGCCACGCGACTTAAAAAATTGGGTGAACAAATTTTAACTGGACACTATTTCTACTGTATTAAATGGGTATAAAAGATTAAAGTATTATATAATAAATACGGTATATTGGTTAGAATTGTCGATTTAGTCCTTACATATTGTTTGCAATTGTCCATTTACCCCTTATATCATTTTTAACGAAAGAATGGAAAAAGAAGGTTTTAACCAAAGAAGAAGGGAAGGTCTAGGGCTTTAGGGTTTTCGAGGTTGGTCTGAAATGAAGAAAAAGTAAACAGGGGAAGACGAAGAAGACGGGAAAGTCTATGCTGCTTCGTCTTACGCTTGGGTGTGAGGTTTTCGTGGTTGGTCTGAGATTAAGGTTGTCTATGTTGTCAAGATCCCAAAAATATATATAAAATATAAAAGGAAGATGATTAAAAATAAATTATCTCTATTGAATAAATTATCTTTTTTGATCAGACACAAAAAAATAAATAAATAAATAAATTCTTTTTATCGAATGAATTATTTATTTTGACTTACCAAAAAATACATTACCTTTTTTGACCGGAGTAAAAAAAGTTAATTTTGTTGAATAAATAGCGATCTCTTTCGATTATATATATATATATATATATATATATATATATATATATATATAAGTTATTATGGAATAAATTATTCATTTTGACGATCACCGGGAAGAAATTCCATTCAAACAAGGCCTTAAATCATATGAAAAGACAAAATTGCCCCTTAATATTAAATTTAGATTTATTGCAAAATATCATACTTGTCAAAATAACGCAATTCCCCTTGAAAGTTTAGGGGTACAAATTAACGCCACTTGGCGCTAGATTAAAAACCCGTGAATTGCAAAATATCATACCTGTTTTTTTTTTTTTTTTTTTTTTTTTTTTTTTTTTTTTTTTTAACCAAAATTTTGTTCCTGTTTTATTTACTATATTATCTATTAATTCATAATAAAAAAATATGGGATTTTTTTTAACAAAAATTTCGTTCCTGTTTTCTTTACTAAAATGGGGTTGTCTTTACAAGAAATATTGTAAAGAAAATATAGGGTTTTCTTTATGGGGTTTTCTTTATTTTCTTTACAAGAAATTTTATTCCTGTTTTTTTTACTAATATGTGGCTTTCTTTGTTTCTATATATATATTTTTTACCAAAATTTTGTTATTTTGAGAAATTGTGGCAGAATGAAATTATTATTATTATTTTTTTAACAAATGAGAGTTATCAATTTTGTTATTACCATAAAAACAGAATGGAAAATAACTAAATAACTAAAATAGCGAATTCTAGTATGGGCTATGCAGCGAAGTAACACCCAGTAGCATCAATTAGATATTGAAAAACATCATTCAGAGATTGGATAACCCATCCATAATCTCTCACAATTTTTTTAAGTCAAAATTGAACAACATTGACAGATATAAGTAGCTTCCATAGATGCCTTTTTAGATTGGTCAAACTTTCTTCTTTTGTAAGAAATTGAAAATTTATTACAGCAAAAGAAATATGCAATTCTATTATCAATTTTGTTATTTTGAGAAATTGTGGCAGAATGAAAACAAATAGTTTTTTTTTTTTTTTTTTTTTTTTTACCAAAAATTTTGTTATTAATTCACACGTGGGTACTTTCGTCCAATTTATTATTATTATTATTATTTTTTTATTTTTATTTTTTTTTTTTTTTTTGACAATCGTGGGTGTCCGGGCTAACTTACGCGCACCTCGACTAATCCCACAAAGCCCTGAAGTTAACGACCGGGCAAGACTCCAGTGGCCTTGAGGAGACTCGAACTGGTGACCATTGAGGAGCAAACCCAAGGCCTGATCAAGGATGTATATATTTATATATATATAGACTATATAGGATATCGTCTGTTTATATAGGATATAGTTTGTCCAATTTATTAATCTGATATTTTCCTAGCATTGTGGCCCTTTGTTCATAAGGGGTAGTTTCGTTCAATTTATTAACTTGTAAAGTTAAAAAGGTCAACTAAATGGCCAAATGGTAATTTGGTCAATTTTTCATACCAGTCGGCTTTAAGGGGAGCCTTTCTCCACTTTTCAATTTTCAAGGAATGTCATTGTCCCAAAAACAGGTAACTTTCATCTAAGTGTACTTTTGGCAAACTTCAGGGAGTGTTGATGTACTTCACCAAAAAAAAAAATTGATGTACAATTGAAAAAAAATGGAGTGAGAATATCGTCTCCCTATAAT